ACGTTGACTATCTCTGGGAGTTGACGGGTTTGTACTGGATCCTAATGCTGAGTGCCTTCAAATGTAAATTCCTATTGAGGTATATGAGGTCAGGAAACTGAAGAGCTGGGATCTCTGCAAGGCATCCCGATCGGTTTGGCAAACGTTTGAAGATTCAGGGATGTGCCGATGCAAAACGTTCAATTTTTCAAGGCTTGGTAAACTTTCATAGAGGTATCCAAAGAACCTCGCAAAGTCCTCCATTTTTATAGTCCTTTTTGTTTTGTTTATTTGCTTTCTATCAGTCATCATCACTCTCCACTCTCTCTTCTGGAGACTTCTATATTTCGCTGCTCATTTTGGCCGATTACTTGATAATTGACAGCCAACCCAGCTATCCATGTTGTGATCTACTTAAAAAAAAAGAATAACAACGCCAATTGTTGAGATAAACCATTTCGTTGGGAATGACTGTGCATTCCCTCTACTGTCCGTTTCTTTTACGTTACTTTTATGGTAAATTAAAGAGCTTTACCTTCATGAGAGAACAACCAAAATGGGTTAATTTCGTGATGTTTTCCCTTTAAAAATATGATAGTGAGTCATTGTCATTTTCACATTCTTGTTTCATCCATGTACTGATACAAATTTGAGATAGAGCTCTATTGGAATCGATGATACTAAGTTTTAGCAAAGACTAGTACTACTAGATAATCTTCAACCGTGTGAATCACGGAGCGCTCTCTACCGAATTAATTTTTTTCCTTCGTTTATTCTTAAATTTGTTTAAGAATAGGCTTTGCAATACACTGCTTGTGGCTATATTTCGAACATTTTGGAATTCAGGTTGAAATACTAATGACTTCGCTTGCTTTGTCCCCTGAGCCTTGTAATTATTTCTATTGTTTTACGCTGAATTTTGAACCAGTTTTTCTTCTTTTCACGCTCTAATTCGTCCCACACAATGCCTTTCTTTCTTCTTGATTTCTGATTAGCCGGCTGAGCGTGCGAGCAAAACCTCGTGCATAAATTGCGACGATCATTGGCTGGAACTTTTAATCCATTTCATCAGAAACTGAAAAATTTTCAGCAAAGTACGCGGTCTATCGAAGAGTGACTACGTACCGTTCTTAAGAGATGAATTTTAAGCTACAAGTCTTTAATAAGGAATAAGACGCTGACCTGAAAGAAGATCAACGAAAGTAGTCGAAGATTCTTTAACAAAAGGTGGGCAATTATTGTCATAAGCTCGTCCTGAAAACTGAACGACCCACAGCATCGTATTCAAACGAGTGAACACGTAGCTGTCCGTTTGGTATGAACAGCTAATCATAAACTATAACTTCGATCGATTGAGCAACGGTATGAACTTTGCAGAGGTTTGTAAGATATTGTTGCATAAATTCATATTCTATCAGTCGGTCAAAGACTACAATTAAATGGTTATTGTTGTGAAATTCTTTCAAGACGTCATTCTGTAGTTGCCGTGGCCACGTGGATTTTTCAAGACTTCTCTACAAAAGTTACGTTACAAGTTTTCGTAAGGGGTGTTATTTAAACTTCTGGTAGACTTGAAAAAGAAGTAAGCATTCCCTGATAATTTATATTTTCAGGAAGAACAATGTTATCACATGGAGGCAAGGATAAAGAAAGTGCCGAGATGGGATAAAGTAGAACCTGGAATTACTGAAGTAATGGAAGATACCACAATGATAAGAACTTTGAAATAATTTAATATCAGTAGCAAAAATGATGGCCGCCTAAATAACTTTTTTTCGTACCGAGACCTCACTTCTTACCAGTTAACAGACTTGAATCATCTTTTGCTTGGAAATGTGTAGAATTTATTGGTAAGTGAACAGTTTCCATCCAGCCATCATTTTTGGATTTATTTATAATGGTGCGGATTGTTCTTCAGAACATGATTGAGCGATCGTACGATTTTTTTGTTTATATCCAAAGCTACTAATCTCAATTTGGAGTTCAAAATTATCATGGAAATCTTCGTCCCAACTTCATTTCAAAAAGTAATGATCGGACGTTACCTGAAACCTGTTGATTTTGTAGTGCATGCTGCTCGCTCATTCTTTTGGTTGGTTCACAGTCCGTATCCCAAGTTTAACTTGGCTGATGATTCTAAGGGGTGATATTTGTTAACGTGGCACTGTGGCAAAAGACTTTCAAAACAATACCAAAATTTTGTCCTATATTCATAACTCGTGTCTGGAAAAAAATGAATTTAATTTTTCCTGTTCTCATTTGGTATGAACGATCTACTTAATCATTGGCTTAACAAACTTCACTTATTGAGCGTGACTTTGTTAACGAATAACTTGGAGGAGCTGGTTTAATAACTTACAACAAACTCCTGTTAACAGGAGGCAACGAAGATAACGTTAACAGATCGACTCGGGCGACGAACCCAACTGACTTGCCACAATTGATGAACTCTGCTTAAGTCTTGCAGGCAATGAAAACACTGAATAATTGATAAAAACCCGCCACGAAACAGACCTATAACTCTGTAACGAAACAGACTTCACTCTAAATTGACCAGAAAAGTAGACGAAATGAAAACCGAATAGATTTAACTCGTATTTACATCTGGACAATGTTTAAATCAATTTTTTTTTCAACAGAGGAATTTCTCTGTCAAAAAGGCCTAAAAAAAAATAACAGTACAGTGCCACCTTAAAAATTATTATCACTACTTTGTCCCATCAACTAATGTTATCTTTAATGTAAATTGTAATTTACGTTTTTAAAACCACAATTCCTGGTCCCGAGTGCTTTCATAAAGAATTCGTAAGCAAAATTTCAATTTATGGTTACATAAACCAGTGTGACCGAATTTTTATGGCCGAGGCAAAATAGCTTTCATATTTCGAAGTGATTTTATTGGATGGTAATTTTGATCAAAATCGTGGAAAAACAGCGATCGTATTAAATGAAGAGCGATTCAAAAGATGCAAGGTCAATGCACAATGTTGATCCTTACTCAGGTCGTTGTGTTAATTTTTCTAAGAGTTGTTCGTTACTGTGCAGCAAGATTGTCGTTCCTCCCATCATTCATCAAAACCAATATTATTAATCAAGACTAATGTTATTCTGTGGAGGTGTAATCGCACAACTGACTATGATCGGACACCTGTAGTCGGACAGTTAAAGCAGCCAATCACAAAATTGATTACTATAACCATAACAACAACCATTTACCTTATAGGGAATTTTTTACGTAACACAATGTCTCTACCGGATATTTTTTTCCAAGAGGAGTAGTTTCTTTTTTTTCGGAAATTGTGATGGCCATGGGTAATGACAACTGGACTTTCCTCTCATCCAATTCGGTTTATGATCATACTCCGTGATTGTCAAACCAGACTCCCACTTCGAGTTTCGTCCCCTCGGTCCTATAACCATTATCAATCATCTCGGAAAAAAAAAATACAAAACCGTTCAAGAGATTCTCTAAATGTTGTTAGGGACCTTAA